TCCCCATTCTATTGTTTTCCTCAATTTCTTTGCATTGTTCATTTAAGAAGGCCTTCTTATAATAACCCTAACCTAAACAGAGCTTGAAAACAGGAATGAGTTGACTCATGGTTTCTATATGATCTTCAAGCAGTCCAAGCCAGTGTAGTCTGGTGAAAAATTCTGGTACTTATTGCTCAGCAACATTTGGGGAACACCTGTTGTTCACTCCTGATTGCTTGCAGGTCTTTAACTGAAATGGGGGTGGGGGATTGCTCTCACTCCTCTGTTGTTATCCCCAATCTTTAAACATAGATTTATGAAAAGAATGGCCTAATATTTAAGCTGAATAAAAATAAAAATTTTACAAAGAAGCACTAATATATATGCTTAGTTAAGTCTAATACATATGCTTTGTTAAACCTGTTTGCTCTGATTTAAGCTATACAATGAACGTACAATTTTAGCTCCTTTACAGATTCCCATTCCTATTTTTCTGCTTGAGACCTATTCTCAAGATAAGCTATTTAATGAGGGCATGACTCATTGTTCTACTAGTTGTATTGTAAAACAAATAAGAACTGGTTTGAGATGAATACAGTTTATGAAGTGATATAAAGTTTGATTCGTTACTTACCTAGGCAAAAGTACACCCATTAAGTTAAACTAGACATATTTCCCAGTAAATATACTTAATAAAATACTCCTAGCTGATAAAGGTAACCTCAGAGCAAAATTCAAATAGGGCATTGTATTCTTGTAGTTCTTCAGCAGTTGCATATGATGTCTTCTTGAATGATCTGTTTTTTCAGATTGATAAATTATTTCTTCCCAGATAAGAAAAATATATAAGAATGTTTTCCTTGCATTTTAAAATCCTTTACTTGCTCCTGGGAATTTGGTTTCCAAGGGAAACTAATCATTATCATAGTAGTTGCTACATGTTTTCTGCTATTTTTCATACTCTAGGTGCACTCGTCGTCTGGACATAAATACGCACTGAAAGAAGCTCTTTGTGACCCAACTGTGACTAGTCGACTTGCTGATACTAAAGCAGCTGGCGAAGTCAAAGCTTTAGATGATTTCTACAAAATGCTACAACATGAGCCTGATCGGGCCTTTTATGGTCTCAAACATGTGGAAAAGGCTAATGAAGCTATGGCTATTGATACCCTGTTGGTCAGCGATGAACTTTTTAGGCATCAAGATGTGGCTACTCGTAGTCGATATGTCCGACTCGTAGATAGCGTGCGTGAGAATATGGGCACGGTTCGCATCTTCTCTAGCCTTCATGTATCTGGGGAACAGCTTGGGCAACTGACAGGTGTAGCTGCTATTCTGCGTTTTCCTGTTGCAGAACTTTCTGACCAGGAAGATGAATCTAGTTCTGAAGATGATTGATGATGGAGAACTGTTTCACCCTTCTTATCTTATTGTATAATGAGACTGCTTCCTTCATAATATTTGTCCCCAATAGTAAATGCCTTACCAAACAAAACAAAACAGAAAAATAGTGAACACTATTTTTTAAAATGACTGGCCAAGTTGTCATTTTGTGTACTTGATATTTATGCATTTTTGTTGCTGTGGTGATAGTGATAGTAGTTCTCCCCTAGCAAAACTGGGGTGACCTAACTAACTGGCAGACAATACTGGTGCTTTGTGGAACGTGCAAAAAAAATAAATTGATCAGGAAAGAAGAATAACTTGCTTATTTGTGTATTTTAGAGGAAGACAATACTGCTGCCATCCTTTCCTTATCCTTTTGCCCTCATAAAGACTACATTGAAAAGAAATAATATTTAATCAGTAGGAATGGCTCAGAAAGCTGTTGCAAGTATAAATCTCATAATTTTCATTCTGAAAGTTACTGACTTACATACTTCTGGAAGGGGTCTGTTTTAGCAATTGACTATTCAAACATTTTCTTTTATTACAAATGAAATTTTAAATTCTTAGTTTGAAAGAAACTTTATTGACACAGCTAATGGCCAGAGAGATCACATAGGATCTAACAATGTATTATTAAATAACTGAGAGTAAGCTATTTTTAAAAGGGTTGAGGGGAGATTCAGTTGCAGTGGAAACAAAACATTTGTTAACTGGCTTGGCCAACCTAGCCAAGCAATTCAGTTCCAGTTAACATGATTAATGTAGATAATGTGCCTGATTATTTGTATTTATCCTTACACCATGAGTCTTGCAGCTACGAGGCATTATGTAGCTTTCATGAAATATATTCGAACCACAAAATTACTGTGGATTAGTTAAATTCCAGGAGATCGTATATTTTGTAGCTGATAGAATAAACTAGGGAAACAGAATTCTCAGTCTTAGGGAAACAGACGCCTCAAGAACCAGTCAGAAGTAGAACCTGTAATGCGCCTTTCTCCACCACACACCCCACGTGATCACCAGGGCAAACCCAGTCAAGCTTCCTTTGACTGCGTTTGAATAGCATGGTTTTCTTTTGAGGCAAAAACATATTAACTGTATTGTGTGCTTCCTTAAAACTTAGGAAAACAAAAATCCCAGTTCTACCTTTACTTCACTTTCAACTTTATTGATTAGTCTTACAACCATTACAACAAGGATAAGAAACATCAGCAAAGGTGAAAC